TTTAATTCTAGGTTTTGAAGAAGAGGTTAGAGGAGAGCATTGAAAAGTACAATATGAAGAATAAATCGGAGGAGCCAGATGCCTTTAGGAAAAAGCTCGAAAATCTCCGAGATCATCTAATGAGTAAGATGGAGGGTTCGTCGTCTCTAGTGATGCGAAAAGATGAAAAAGAAGAAATGTGAAGAGATGGAAGCATATTGATGCTCTTAAAGAATGAGAGGAACATAACATCATATAATATCAATTGTCAATTTTTTTTTTTTAATTTAAATTCCTGGTTGTATTTCATATTATAAGAAAAGATTACATTAGAAAAGAAAAAAAACCAAGGGCTTGAAACCTTCGGTCATAAACCAAAAAGATAATAATAAAACATCGAACGATACAAGGAAGTACCTCTAAACCACAAACCAAGACAATATATCCCCAAAGTTGGGTTTATCCTTTAGAGCCAAACAAGCATCACAGATTCCTCTGTCAATCTTCTTGTAGAGAACCTCAGCGGAAAATTTAGTATCCGAGAAGATTCGATCATTTCTCTGTCTCCACAAAGAATAGATAACACCTTGAGCTATAAGGAGCCTCAAGTTATTTTCAGCAGCCCTTGGATATGGTCTTTTAAGCCATCTCAGAAACACACTCCAAGTTCCAAATCCCACGTAAGGGGCGTTCACCCTTCCGAAAGCCAATCTCCACACATCTTGGCTATATGGACAGTTTAACAAGAGATGATCCCTAGTTTCATTGTATATCTCACATAAAACACAGGTGCTATTATCAATTACTCCCCTGCTAGCTAACCTAGATTTAGTTGAAAGTCTATCTAGGAAAGCTAACAAAAGAATAAAAGCATGTTTAGGGATATGTCCTGAAAACCATACCTGTTTATGCCACTCAACTTCCATAAATGAAGCTGCTGTTTGTTCCCTAGCAAGCGAGAATCTGAAGTTGTCTTTCTGAGGACCAACACCATCTCTCCAAATGTATTTATCTTTTCCTCCTTGTATTAACTGAACAGTGGTTAAATGACAAAGAAGAGAAGCTACGTTCTCACTATGAGCCCCTCTAAAATTCCATCCATTAACTGTAGCCGCAAATGAGACCTTTGAGTCTATAGAAATGCCATAGATTCTCGGACCATTGAGCCCAATGAAAGGGAGCAACTGC